CATGGACTTATTGAATGGCGGGGCAGGCTCGAGGGGCTGAATGGCCCCCTCCTGCTCCTAATTCCTATGTTCCTATTCCTCTGCTTTGCAGCAATCCCCCCCCCACACCCCCCACCGCCCTTTGTTCTGCATCATTAACAGCGCTTCAACCCATCGCCCCCATGTCCTCTACCCCACGTTCTCCTTTGCTTTCCTCGCCCTGTCTCCCCCACTCTCTGTCAGCCCTGAAAAGCCTCCCCCCTCCCAACAGGCGAAAGCTCGTGGACCCGAAACGTTGACTCGCTTTCCTCTCTCCATAGATGCTGCCTGACCTGCTGAGTGTTCCCGGCCACTTCTGTTTTTGTGACCAATATATACACACACACACACATATATATATATCTCATCAACAACAACTTGCATTTATATAGCGCCTTTTCACGCCGGACGGAGTCTCGAAGCGCTTATATCCGGAGCGAAACTCTTTACGGTTTAACATCTCACCCGAAGGACTGCGCCTCTGACAACTGCGACACCCCAACACCCCGCGCCCCCCCCACCCCACGCCCCCCACCCACACACCCACCACCACCCCCCCCCCCCAGCGCCGGGCTGGAGTGTCAGCCTCGACCGTGAGCTCAGCGCACCCAGCGCGGGGCTCGAGCCCACAACTTTTCCGCTCCCGAGGCAAGTCCGCTGCTGGAGGATGGGCTCGGAGTCGTGGCCTCGGGCGGATCGACTGAAAATTCTGGGGTGAGATACAGAAAAAAGACAACTGCATGAAAATAAACGAATGTCCTGTTTAAAGGGGAACCTGTGGTTTCGACACTCGCCACCGGGTGGCGCTGTTGTACTGTGTCGCCGGCGTTCAGCGGGTGGGCGCGATGCACAGGTCGAGAGCGCCACCCGGTGGCGGTACTGCGGTACTGCGGCCACAGGGAGCGATTGCTCTCAACCTGAGAGTAATTCAGGTGTTCAATAATAATAATAATAATAATAAAAATAACAATAATAATCCTTGCATTTGATACAGCGCCTCGTCACGCCTTCCAGACGTCTCAAAGCGCTTCACGGGATACAGGGGGGGACATCGAGCTTGAGGTAGAGCCAACCTATTATTGCTATTATTATTATTATTATTACTATTATTATTATTCACCCGGTATGTAAGCCGGGAAACGAGGCAATTGGCAGTTAGTCGTACGGGGAGGTGTTTCGGGGAAGAAGAAGTGAGCTGCGGCTCAAGTTGCCGCATGGGGTGACGGTGCAGTGGCAATAAGGGAGACATAATAATAATAATAATAATAATCCTTGCATTTGATATAGCGCTTTTCACGTCGGGAGGACGTCCCAAAGCGCTTCACAGAACACACTGTAAAGTGAATTGACTGTATATTTGTGGGCGAACGCGGCAGCCAATTGCGCACAGCGATGTCCCACAAACAGTCATGGATTGAAAATGACCAATTTATTATTGTTTTTGTTTTTGGAGGGATTATTATTAGGCTCTGTGTGGAGTAAGGAAACTTGCCCGAGGTTTCGCCCTCTGCCGGGAATCGAACCCAGATCTCTCACATGGCTCAAACAAGGGCAGGAATATACATATACCTGTGTATATTCGAGGCTGAATGTTCCTGGCTACAAGGCATTCGGGAGGGATAGGGAAGGAATAAAAGGAGGGGTGTGGTGGGCGGTAATATTGATTAAAGACACGGTTACGGTCCTGGAAAGGGATAATGTGCGGGAGGGTCCGACAAGAGAATCTATTGGGTTAGCGTTAAGGAGCAGAAAAGGAACTGTTACTCTGTTAAGTGTATACTGAAGACCATCAAATAGTGGGAAGGAGCGAATCTGCAGCAGATTTCGGAAAACCAATAGAGTAGAGTAGAGATAATGGGGGACTTCAATTATTCCTCACGTAGACTGGCAAAATAACAGTGTAAAGGGCAAGGAGGGGGACGGATTCCTGCAACGTGCGCTGGATAACTTTCTGGATCAGTGTGTTTCCAGCCCAACCAGGATTCGAACAGGATGAACGAGGAGAAACTGTTCCCACTGGCGGGCGGGTCGGTTACCCGAGGACACCGATGTAAAACAGTTGTTCAGAGAAACAGAGGGGAGACGAGGAGAAATGTTGTCGCACAGCGAGTTGTTGGGATCTGGAATCGTTGCCTGAAAGGCCGGTGGGAACCGATTCCATAACAGCTTTTAAGAGAGAAGCGGATAATTATTTGGGGACGACAAGTTTGCAGAGCAATGGGGAGAGCGGGGGGAGTGGGGTTGATCAGGGCTATGGGGAGAGAGCGGGGGGAGTGGGGTTGATCGGGGCTATGGGGAGAGAGCGGGGGGAGTGGGGTTGATCAGGGCTATGGGGAGAGTGCGGGGGGAGTGGGGTTGATCAGGGCTATGGGGAGAGAGCGGGGGAGTGGGGTTGATCGGGGCTATGGGGAGAGAGCGGGGGGAGTGGGGTTGATCGGGGCTATGGGGAGAGTGCGGGGGGAGTGGGGTTGATCGGGGCTATGGGGAGAGAGCGGGGGAGTGGGGTTGATCGGGGCTAAGGGGAGAGAGTGGGGGAGTGGGGTTGATCAGGCTATGGGGAGAGAGTGGGCGAGTGGGGTTGATCGGGGCTATGGGGACGAGAGAGTGGGGGAGTGGGGTTGATCAGGGCTATGGGGAGAGAGCGGGGAGTGGGGTTGATCAGGGCTATGGGGAGAGAGCGGGGAGTGGGGTTGATCAGGGCTATGGGGAGAGAGCGGGGGAGTGGGGTTGATCGGGGCTATGGGGAGAGAGCGGGGGGAGTGGGGTTGATCGGGGCTATGGGGAGAGCGCGGGGGGAGTGGGGTTGATCAGAGGGCTATGGGGAGAGTGCGGGGGAGTGGGGTTGATCAGGGCTATGGGGGAGAGCGGGGGAGTGGGGTTGATCAGGGCTATGGGGAGAGCGCGGGGGAGTGGGGTTGATCAGGGCTATGGGGAGAGCAGGGGAGTGGGGTTGATCGGGGCTATGGGGGAGAGGGGGGGAGTGGGGTTGATCAGGGCTATGGGGAGAGAGCGCGGGGGAGTGGGGTTGATCAGGGCTATGGGTGATGTTGCTTTTCCTGTAGTTCGGTGGTTCGAGCGCTCCCCTCAAGCGAGAGGACCCGGGTTGGATTCCGGGGCCGGACGCCACCTCAGGCAAGTTCCCTAAATCCACTCGCCTCAGTTTACCCGGCAGTAAGTTGTTAGTCGATTGGCGAATCGCTTTCTGGGGGTAATAATCCCGTCGACAACAATAATAATAAATTGGTCGCTGAATCTACGTCTGTGTGTGTGGGGACGCCGCTGTGCGCAATCGGCTGCTGCGTTTTTTCGCCCACAAAATATACAGTCAATTCGCTTCGCGGTATATCCCGTGAAGCGCTTTGAGACGTCCGTAAAATGTGATGAGGCGTTGGATTAAATGCGAGGACGATTATATTATTATGAAGGGTAACTCAATGTGTCGATGACTTAATCTGACGCGTTAACCCGTTGCAGTGTCACGTTTCGTCCAAACGATGGCGGCAACAGTCCATCTAAATCGTGGACGACCTGATATAAGCGAGATCCTCCTCCTCGCCTACAAGGCCATTGACGGCCTCGCTCCCTCCTACCTCTCCGACCTACTATCCCCCTACTTACCTACCCGTACCCTCCGTTCCTCTGGCTCCGGTCTGCTCCACATCCCCCGCCCCATCGCCCGACCATCGGTGGCCTTCAGCCTCTCAGCCCCGAGGCTCTGGACCTCCATCCCCCAGTGCCTTCGCCGCTTCCTCCCTTTCCTCCTTCAAGGCCGGTCTCAAGAACTTTCTCTTTGACCGTACCTTCAGCTCCGCTCTCGACTCTCTCCCCTCCTCGCCCCCTCCCCCTTCCCTCCCCTCACCCTGACCATTTCCCCCCCAATGCTCGGGTCCCGACCCAACCGTCCAGCGCCTCGGGACGTCCTCCCGACGTGAAGGGCGCTCTATAAATGCAATCTTGTTGTTGTTGTAATAATCCCTTCCAACAAAAAACATTATTATTATTACACTGCAGGACTCCGTGATTATTCTTATTACTCTAGAGCGAAGTCAAACGATCGATGCTCAGTCAGCGTGATAGGTATTTTACTCTTAAATCGATAAAAGTACCAGATTATTACATCAATTTATAGGGTAACATAACGCAATGTGCTTCATATTCCTCGGTCGCTGTTTGTGCTCTTTTTGGTCTCCTGTGTGTGTGTGTGTGAGTGTGCGTGTGCGCGCGCGCGAATATATAATAATATAATATAATATATAATATAATATATAGAAATATAAATTATACCATGATAGAAAATCAAAATCTGGGGCCAACGGCCACAACTATGTACAGTCAGGACGTTTCGGAAGGAACGTCACGGGTCTAAAAAAATAAACATACGCTGTACTTAAATAAGAACACCATCGGGTGCACAGGATTGAGGCGAAATACTTCCCGCGTTGGTGTGTGAGAGACGTTGACGGGTCAAATCGAAATTTTTCATCGAGTGCGTCATAGACCTCACGTTGATCCCTCACCTTGCGGCGGCTTGCGGGGGCTTGGGGTGGGGGGTGGGGGGGTGGGGTGTGGGGGGTGGGGGTAGGGGGGAAACCCAGAGTGTGCGTTGGGGGTAACTGTTGGAGTCTAACCCACGCACACACACAGCTTGGCCGTTGAGAGCCCTGTCTGGGCCGAGCTTTCCCGCTGCTTGTCCAGCAAGGACCACCATTAGGGCTTCGGCTGCGGGGTTAACGGGAGCCGAGGGGGAGGATTCCCTGCCCCCACCCCACTCCCCCACTCCCCACTCCCCCAGTCACCGTTCCGATAGAGCAGAGGGCGGTCACTGCCTCGTCCAAATCCGGGCCAGGTGTCTGCGGGCCACCAAGTCGCCGGGATTCGGTCCAAAAAAAAATCCGCGGCGACGGGCGCGGACCCAGCTCCGGGTTTTGTCCGATGCCGGACGGGCAGACGGAGGGACGGAGGGATGGACGGACCCCGTGGCCTCAGAGGAAGATGATCTTCTTGGCCAGTTCCCGCTCGATGTCGCCGATCAGGCTGTCGAAGTCGCCCGGCCTCCCGCCCAGGCCCGACTCCAGCCCCAGCTCCAGGTCCAGCCCCGCCTCGGCCTCCGCCTCGCTCGCCCCGAAATTCCCGTAGGACCCGCTCCGGTGGTTGCGGTGGTGGGGGTGGTGGTGGTGGTGTTGGAGCCGGGCGGGGCTCATCCCCCCTCGGTAGCCCCCACCGCCGCCTCCGCCTCCGCCTTCCTCGCCGGGCTCCGGCCCCGGGCGCAGGAAGCTCCGCCCGCAGCCGCTCCAGTCCCCGGCGTGACGGTTCCGGGCAGTGTTTGGCACTCGGCCGGACCGGCTCCGGCACACCACCTCCTCGCCCGGCAATGGCAACGGCACGGCGCCCGGCGGCAGTAACGGCACGGCCCCCAGCGGCGGCACGGCCCCTGGTGATGGCACGGCGCCCGGCGACGGCACAGCCCCCGGTGATGGCACAGCCCCCTGCGACGGCAGCGGTACATCGCTCGGCAACCCCAAAATTCCCGGCCTCTGGGGCCTGGGGCACTCCAAGGCCCGGCTCCTCTTCACCGCGATCTGATCCCCTGGTAAACAAACAAACAAACAAACAACGGGAAGGTTATTATTATTATTAATAACAATAATATGACCCCCCCACCCACCCCCCCACCGTAGCTCGGAAGGGGTCAGAGGACCGGGGTTCGATTTCCCCGGCGGGGCATCGAAACATAGGAACGGGAAAAGGCCATTCAGCCCCTCGAGCCTGTCCCGCCATCCGATTAGGTTACGGCTGATCTGTACCTCAACTCTTGATCCCCCCCCCCCACACACACACACACGCACACACACGCACACACGCACACGCACACGCGCGCGCGCCTCTGTTAGTAGGAAGTACGTGGGAACCCGGCTCTCGCTCTTCCGGGGGGTAATAAAAAAAAGGAGGGGGAGAGTGTGTACTCACGAGGCCAGAGCTGAAGGAGGTAGTGTAAGACCTCGATGTGCCTCTTGAAGTCCATGGCGTTGGCCAGCTCCTGGCAGTGGGGGTAGCCTCGGCCGCGGCCCCCCTCCCCCTCGCTCTCCCCCTCCCCCCACCGCTCCGCCCGGGGGCTCAGCAACACCGGCCCGAAGCACACGGCGAGGTTCTGACACGTCATCTTGTTCCATTCCTGCAGCCAGGCCACCAAGGCCAAGTGGTCCAGTAACAGGGTCAGCGTGGCCTGTGGGGTGGGGGTGGGGGGGGGGGGGAAACGAGAGAAAGTGAGCGTGAGAGAGAGAGAGAGCGAGAGAGACGGACAGAGGGAGCGGAGTAAACACACCCACGCGCACACGCACACAGAAAGACGGAGACAACAGCAACAAGGAGGGTGACCGAGGACGCGGTCAAAGAGGGTCTTGAGATGGGTCTTGAAGGAGGCGAGGGAGGGAGGGAGGGAGGGGGTGAGGGAGTTCCAGAGGGTGTTGGCAGAGAGACTGAAGGCCCGGCTGCCAACGGTGGGGCGGGCGAGGCGGGGGGGGGGAACGTGAAGCAGGTCGGAGCCCGCTGAGCGGAGGTAGCGGGCGGGTTGGTAGGGGGTGAGGAGGTCGCAGAGGATGGAGGGAGCCAGGCCGTGGAGGGCTTCGAAGGCGAGGAGGACCAGGGTCTTCAACTGTTATCCTCCGTGCGATGGGAAGCCATTGGGAGTCTGGATGACCTGCAGCCTGTGGAGGGAGGAGGTGAGGAGGCGCTGACGGGAGCCAAGGAGGAGAGCCTCGGTCTTGTTGACATCCAACTGCAGGAATTCTGCCCTCGTCCAGGACTTGGATGTCCGACAGCAGTCAGCGAGGACTGCAGTGGGTCCTGGAGTCCAGGGTGGGGGCGGACAGGTGGAGTTGGGTGTCGTCCGCGCACAGGTGGAAGTTGACCCCCACGTCTGCGGAGGACGTCACCGAGAGGGAGCTTGGACGGGGTGAAGAGGAGGGGACCGAGGGCAGAGCCCCGAGGAACACCGCACGGGACGGCGCGGGGGCCGGAGGAGAGGCCGTTAGCGACGACAGATAGACACGGAGAGAGACACACGCGCGCGCGCACACGCACAGAGGCACAGACAGAGACAGAGACACACAGACGGAGAAGACAGGACAGACAGCGGTGGGTGTGTGGTGGGGGGGGGGTTGGGGGCGCGGGGAGTGTGTGTCTGTGTGTGTTTTTGGGGGGTTGTGGGGCGGCTCTGTCTGTGTGTGTGTGTGTGTGTGCGTTTGGGTGTGTGTGTGTGTGGGGGGTGGTCTGCATGTGTGTGTGTGGGTGGAGGTCTGTGTGTGTGTGTATACGTGTGCGCTCGGGGGGGGGGTTTGTGTGTGTGTTTGGGGGTGTGTGGGGGGGGCGGGTGGTCTGTGTGTGTGTGTACGTGTGCGGCGGGGGGGGGGGGTTTGTGTGTGTGTTTGGGGGTGTGTGTGGGGGGGGATCTGTCTGTCTGTGTGTGGGGGGTGTCTGCCTGTCTGTGCGTGTGTGTGGGGATGGGGGGGGGTTACCTTCTCGGGCTGGGGTAGACAGCGGAGGAGACCCACCACGTCGCTGGTCTCAGAGGTGGCCTGGGGGCCGCTCAGAGCTGCTCTCAGGGGCCGCCTCCCCATGGCCTCCAACACCAGCTGGTACAGGGGGGGGGCGATCAGCGGGGAGGGGAGCTCCCGCAGGTAATCCTTCAGGATCCCTGTCATCGAGGGGGAGGGGAGGTGGGGGGGGGGGGTGGAGAGAGACAGCGGTCAGTAACATTCCCCCACCTCGACCCACACACACTCCCCCACACAGACGCAACCCCCCCCCAACACACACACACAGACTCAACACCCCACCACCCCCACACACTCCCCCACACAGACTCAAACCACCCCCCCACACACACACGCGCGCCCCCTCCCCCCCATTCCCCCCCCCCCCCCCCCCCCCACGAGGACAGAGTTCGAAATCCTCGTCATCGCCCTCAAAACCCTCCGTGGCTTAGCCCCCCCACCCCACCCACCCCACCGCCCGGCCCGGAGGAAACGTCCCGGGGCTCAGCCCTACCTGTGACCACGTTGATGTCGGGGTAGACTTCCTCCGACAGGTTGACGGCCGTACTCTCGCGCTCGAAGGAATCGCGGAGTTCTTTCTTCACCGCCGCCGAGCCGCACAGCCGGTAAAGTCCCACCGTCTGAGGTTCAGGGTCAACACGCGACAGGACGTCAGGGCCCGTTCTGGCTCACCCCAACCCCCAACCCCCGCCCGCCCCCCGCAACATCGCCCGGCTCTCCCCACCCCCAGCCCTCGGGCCGCCGAGACCCTCATCCATCACGTCCAGGCTCGACTACTCCACAACGCCTCCCTCCACAGGCTGTGGGTCATCCGGAACTCAGCAGCCCGTGTCCTCTCCTGCACCAGGCTCCGTGACCCCCATCACCCTCCCCACCCGCTCCCCCACCCCATCCTCGCCCGGCTCCAATGGCTTCCCATCACACGGTCCCTTCGCCTCGTGTAACATTGGGAGCTCACCTTGAGGCCTCGCCTCTCAATCTCGTCCACGCACTTGTGGATGAGCAGAGGCACGCACAGCCCCGAGTTCTCTCTGTGTATCAGCTCCCTCAGCTCCACCCGGAACACCTTGGGCTCGGGGTTGTCGTCCACCCCCCCCAGGGGCACCTCCCACATCTCAGCCAGCGTCACCTTCAGATACAGCACTCCTCGCGGCTCCAGCTTCAACCCCAACTGCTGCGTCCGCACACCTTAATAATCATCATAATAATAATAACAACAACAACAACGATTACCAGACGAGGAAAAAGTGAGGAGGAGAGTATCAGACTCCAAGAGGACATAGACAGACTGGTAAAATGGGCCGACACGTGGCAGACGAAGTTTGATGAGGAGAAATGCAAAGGGATGCGTTTTGGGAGGAAGAATGAGGAGAGGCGATGGTACAACCTTAAGGATTATTCTCCTCGGAGCGGAGAAGGTTAAGAGGAGACTTAACAGAAGGTTTCAAAACGATGAGGGGATTCGATAGGGTGAACAGGGAGACGCTATTCCCACTGGCGGGCGGGTCGGTAACCCGAGGGCACCCGTTTAAAATAGTTGTTGAAAGAAACAGAGGAGAAGTGAGGAGAGATGTTTTCACACAGCGAGTTGTTGGGATCTGGAATCATTACCTGAAAGGGTAGTGGTAACCGATTCGATAACAACTTTTAAGAGAGAAGTAGATCATTATTTAGGGAGGACACGTTGGCAGCGCTATGGGGAGAGAGCGGGGGAGTGGGGTTGATCGGGGCTGTGGGGAGAGCGCGGGGGAGTGGGGTTGATCAGGGCTATGGGGAGAGAGAGCGGGGGGAGTGGGGTTGATCGGGGCTGTGGGGAGAGCGCGGGGGAGTGGGGTTGATCAGGGCTATGGGGAGAGAGCGGGGGAGTGGGGTTGATCAGGGCTATGGGGAGAGAGCGGGGGAGTGGGGTTGATCAGGGCTATGGGGAGAGAGTGGGGGGATTTGGGTTGATCAGGGCTATGGGGGAGAGCGCGGGGGGAGTGGGGTTGAATTGTACAGCTCTTTTCAAAAGGTGGGGTCGGGAAGAAGGGAGGGGGGAGTGAGGGAGAGAGGGAGAGGAACGGAGGGGGGTAAGTCGGGAAGAGAGGGAGAGGGGAAGGGAGGAGGTGGTGTGAGAGAAGGGAAGGGAGGGAGGGAGAGAGAGAGGGAGAGGAAAGGATGGGGTGGGTGGGGGGGGGCGGGAAGTCGCTTTACCTTTGAAGAGGGGGGGCAGGATGGCGGTCCCGTGGCAGCACACGCGGTTGCGGCAGGAGGAGGGGTCCCAGCTGAAGACCACCAGCTTGAGCTGCTGGGCGTGATCCAGCTCGATGTTGAAGGTGTGGTCCAGGTTGAGGAAGGAGGTGAGGCAGGGCAACATGGCCGTGCGGGCGCGGTTGACCGAATCCACCTGGATGACGCAGAAGACCTCCTTGAGCTCCGCCCGGGGCAGCCGGACCCCCTGGATGCCGTAGAGTCGCACGTTTAGGAGCCCCGAGAGGTACTGGAGGCAGCGTCGCTGGTCGCCGCAGCTGTAGGGGGCGAAGGCGGTCAGGTCCAAGGCCGTCGAGGCTCCCCGCCCCCCGCCCTCCGCCTCCGAGCTCCCCGCCTGCTTGACCACCAGCTCGGGCGAGTCTCCGTCGCTCAGGTGCCCGCCCTTGCCCCCCGCGTGCTTGCCGTGCCGCTCTCGGCTGCCCCCGGGCCCCACGCTCGTGTCCAGGTGGTAGCGGCTGATGACGTTCCGGCTGGAGAGGGGCAGGGAGAGGCCCAGCGAGAGGGAGAGCGAGGGCGAGGGCGAGGGCGAGGATCCGGCCGGCGGCGGGGGGGGAGGAGGCTGGGGGCCGTCCTTCTCGTGCCTGCCGGCCGAGCGCGACGTCCCCCTCAGGCTCAGCTTGCGCCGCAGCTCGGGCAGCTTCCTCATCCTCATGGACAGCTTGCGGGCAGTGCCCGGGGACTTGATCTTCTCGCTGAGGGAACGGGCAGCCGCGTGGATCCTCTTCACCGGCTTCGGGCTGGACACCGGGGAGCAGCGGGTGGCCGCGGGGCCGTTGGCAGCCTCCCCGGGCGCCTCTGTGCCCCCGAAACCAACCACCGCCGCCACCACCGCCACCACCACCACCACCACAACAACAACAACAACAGAAACAGAAACAGAAAGAGTCACACCTGGAACTGAGCAACCGCCCCGCATTCAACAACCGCTCCCCCCCACCCAGCAACCGCCCCTCCCTCCATTCAGCAACCACCCCACCACCCCCCCACCCCTCCACGCCCGCGCCCTCCCTTCATTCAGCAACCGCCCCCCACCCCTCCATTCGGCAACCGCCTCCAATCACTGAGTCCTGCAGTGTAGTGGTTAGTGCGAGAGGACTACTCCCGGGTTCGATTCCCGGGCGGGTCAGGGCAAAACCTCAGGCAATTTCCTCACTCCACACGCGCACGCACACACGCGCACACGCCCGCGCACACGCGCGCACACGCCTCCGGTTGCCCAGCAGTAAGCGGGAACCCGGATCGCTTTCCGAGGGGGTAATAATCCCTCCGAAATAAACGCAAAATCAAAATAATTGCCTCACTCAATCCGCGACTGTTTGTGGGGGACGTCGCCGGGCGCCGTCGGCTGCCGGGTTCAGCCCCCAAAATACACAGTCACTGCACTTTAACAGCGTATCCCGTGAAGCGCTTTGAGGCGTCTCGAAGAAACGGTAAGGCGCCGGGTCAAATGCGAGGATTATACGCAGCGAACCCCCACCCCGGAAGATTTTGTCCGGACAAATGTTAATAATAATAATAATAATCCTTGCATTTGATCCAGTGCCTTATCACGGGATATACCGTAAAGTGTAGTGACTGTGCATTTTGTGGGTGAAACGTGGAAGCCGACTGCGCACAGCAGCGTTTCCCCCCCCCCCCCCCCCCACCCCACACAAACAGCCGCGAAGCCGGTGACGGGTTTATTTGGTGGTGGGGGTGTGGGGGGGGGGATTGTTGACCAGACCACCGGGGAGAGAGAGAGAGAGAGAGAGAGGGTCAACTTAAACGTCCGCCTGAACAGGGCAACAGGCGGCGGAGTGAGGTTTATCGTCTCGCCCTAAGGACTGCGTCTCCGACAATACAACGCACACCCCCCCAACCCCCCGCCCCCCGCCCCCCGCACCCCCACCACCACCCCACCCCGGAGTTGCACTGCAGCTTCAGCTCAGACCGTGCTACCCCAAGTCCCCAAAGCGCAGGGGGCTTGAACCCACAAACCTTGGGCTCGGAGGCGCTCGCGCGCTCGAGAGAGAGAGAGAGAAAGAGAGAGAGAGCGCTACCAACTGAGCCATCCGACACGCGCACACGCACACGCGCGTGCGCACACAGAGCGCTGGGCGGGTGTCCGAGCAGATCCAGCCGGAGTCTCTCCGTGTGGCTCCGTGTTTTGTCTCCGGGAATCGTACCTCTGCCCCCCCCCCCCCCCCGCCCCCCCCCCCCACAGTCGGGCTTCTGTTTCTTCCCTCGTTTCCTGTTCGGGGAACGCCGCAGCCTTTAATAGCTCAGCACCTGTCTCCTTTGTTTTATCTCTTCCTGTATCCCCCGGGGTCGGGCTTCCAGCACGTTTCCATGGGGGGGTGGGGGGGGGGGTGGACACGTGAACTTACGTAAGGCTTTTTTGCGACGTCACCGCCAACGTCTCGTCGAGACGTCTCGAAGCGCTTCGCAGGATTTGGCTGCGAAGCGCAGCGACTGTGTGGCTTCTGTGGGCGAAACGCGGCAGCGCCTGGAGCGAGCGATCAGTATTTTTATTTGTGGTGGGCGGGGTGGGTGGTGTGTGGGGGGGGGTGGGGGGGGGGAGATTGTTGGCCAGGACACCGGAGGAGAGAGAGAGAGAGAGAGAGAGACTCCCTTTAACGTCCACCACCTGAACACGACGCAGATGAGGAGTGAGGTTTAACGCCTCACCCTACGGGACGGCGTCTCCGAGAATGCAGCTCGACCCACGGCTGGTCGCGGGGATCGCTGCCGTGCGCAGTCGGCGGCCGCGTTTCGCCCTCCAAATAAGAGGGAGGGAGTCGGTTCACTTCACAGGGCATCCCGCGAAGCGCTTTGGGACGTCTCGAGGACGCGGGAAGGCGCTGTGTCGAACGCCGGGATTATTATTATCCTCCGGCAGACATTCCCTTGGAGGGAAATAACATTAATAATCATCACAGTAATAATAAGCCTCGCATTTGATCCGGTGCCTTTCTCGTCGGGAGGCTGTCCCGCGGGATCGTACGGTAAAGGGGGAGTGACCGTCTGGGGGGAAAAAAAAAACTCCCTGTAACGTCCGATCGTTAAGTGGACGGGGGGGGGGGGCGGGCGGATGCGAGCAAAGGAACGCGATGAAATAATGACACGTTTCGTCACTTCAATCCGCGTCCCGAATGTTTTCCCGTGTGCCGTCGGCCGACCCGGTTTTTGCCCACGGAATAAAGAGAGTCGGTGCACTCCGACGGCATGACTGGGCACCGGAGGCGTCTCGGAGACGCGACGAGGAGCTCATATCCAAATGCAAGGGTTGTTATTACGATTATCATCGGCGCTGTCGTTAGAGGGGAGCGAGCGCCGACGCGGTAGGGACCGCTCCGTCGTTTCCAGCGCTTCCCAGACGCGGCTTTGGATGGAGTTGAAGGGCAGTGACTGACACACTAACCTTTTGTCCCCGTCACACACTGGCCCCTAGTCTGCCGATTCCTGGCATTTCCTCCCAAGCCTTTTTCCACGCTCTCGGTCTAACTGGATAAACAGCCAGTCAGCCATTTGCGCTGGGGATGGGGCGCGGTGGTAGGGGGGGGGGGGGGTGCGGGGGTGGGCGGGTGGGTGGGTGTATGGGGGTCATTTGAGGGCAAGAATCTAAGATGACGTCTTGGCGTTTGAGAAGCCAAGTGACGAGAGTTTGCACGCAATCGCTTTACACTTTACACGTTACACTCTACGGTGCGACACTATTCTCTCCCTCTCTCTCTCTCTCTCACTCTTTCTCTCGGTCTCTCTCTTTCCCGGTGTTCCCGCCCGACAATCCCCCCAAATACAATTGGCCCCTCACTCCTTGGCTGCTCGTGGGACGCAGCTGCGAGCGAATTGGCTGCCACGTTCGCCGACAAACACACAGTCACTACACTTCGCAACAGATTTCCCCTAAAGCGTTTGGAGGTGGTGGTGGGGGGAGCCCGGGGTGTGCGTTGGGGGGTAACTGCTGGTGTCTAACCAGCTAAACCCCCCCACACACACACACACAGCTCGGCCATCGAGAGCCCCGTCTGGCCAAGTTTTTCCGCTGCTTGTCCAGCTGGGACCACCCTCCCCGTTGGTCAGGGCTTCCCCCCTATCCCACCATCGGTGGCCGTGCTCTCAGCCACCGCGTCCCCCGCAAAAAACTCTGTCGCTCTCCCCCTCCCCCCATCAATCCCTCCGCCTCGCGTCCCCCCACCACCCACCCACCACCCACCCCTTCTTCTACCCCCTCTTCAAGTCGCGCCCGAAGGACCATCCTCTGCCGGGAATCGTACCTGCGAGGCTGCTTTTCCAGGCGGTCCTCTCCGCTGGCTTCCCGCTGTGGCAGGCGGGCGGGTGCTGGGAGTTGCCGGCCGCGAGCGCCAACTCCCCCGGCGTCCGCGTTGTCGAGTCTCCGCCATCCGCGGCCGGGCCGGGGGCTTCGGCCGTCTCCCCCGCGGGGGGCTCAGTCCGTCTGCCCCCGGCTGGCCCCTCCCCGGCCCCCGGCGAGCCGCACGTGTCCTGGACGCACCACTGCGCTCGTCCCACCCCGGCTCTCCGCGGCGGCCTCGGGAGGTCTTCGTCCTCGGGGATGGGATTGTACCAGATCTCTCCCTCGTCGCCTCGGCCGGGGTCCGGGCTGGGGATCCGCGGGGGGCCGGGAGCCTGCTCCCCGGGGGCCTGCGGGCTGCGATCGCCCCCGCTCTTGCTGGCGGCGACGGCGGCGGTGGGCGGGGGGGGATGGTCTCGTGCTTCACCGGCCTCAACGACCCCGACGGTCCCCGTCTCCGCGTTCCCGCTCACCGGATCTTTCTCCGACCCCTCGGGTTCTAAAGGGGAGGGGGGGGCGGAAAAAAATGGGGGTGGGTAGGGGGAATGAAACGACACACGCGGGGAAAGTGCATTGGAGAGAGATAGCGAGAGGGTGGGGGGGAGGGGGGGGGAATTGCGATCGCGCCCGGCGACGTTCCCCCACAGACAGCCGTGGTTTGAGCGGCCAAATTATTATTATTTTTTTCTTTGAAGGGACCCCCCCTCCGCCCCAGAAAGCCATCCATCCACCGACTGACAACTGGGTAATGTCTTGTCCGGGCAAAACCCTTCCCGTTAATTTCCCCTCGAGTCTAGTGACTGTGTCTTTTTTTGGGGGGCGAACCTGGCCCTCGTATTGCGGGCACGTTGACCTACAAGACGCACAGTCACTACACTTTACAACTGCAATGGAGTCCCATAGCGCGAGTAGTTAGCGTGCTCGCCCGGCACGTGAGAGGACCTGGACGCGGAGGGCGCTATCCAATAACACTCCGCGCATTTGACGCAGCGCCGGATCGCGTCTTCGGAGACGTCTCAAAAGCCCTTCACGGGATACGCCGTGAAGCGGAGCGACCGTGCGTTTTGCGGGCGAAACGCGGCGGCCGACGGCGCCACAAACAGTCGTGGTTTGAGCGACCAAGTTATTTTATTCACGAAGGGATTACCGCCCCCCCCGGAAACACCAATCGACTGACGCCCGCGTGTCCTGTTTACTGGTGGGTGAACAGAGCCGCGTGTGCGCGTGCGGTTGCGTGTGCGCGTGGAGTCAGGAAATTTGCCTCAGGTTTTGCCCTGACCCGGGAATCGAACCCGGGTCCTCTCGCTGGCGAGGCGAGCGCTCTAACCAATGCCACAGGACTCCACAGGTATCGAAGCGTGAGCTTCGTATTCATTATTATTAATTATCGTTATTATCATTATTATTATTACACGGCCGGACTGTCAGCGCGCGTTAGGAGCCGCGGCACGTTTTGGGGGCTTGAACCCTACGTAAAGCCCTCTGTGCCCGCGACGCTGGGGAGAGGGAGAGAGATGGGGCTGTTGGAACGGAAACCTAAATCACGTGGCGTGGACGAGCTCAGCGGCGCTCTGTGCATTGAGAGCCGCTGTTCAGCCCAGAGGGCGAGTCTCCGACACAGAGACCTCACTGTTGCTGAAGCTCACACAACAGCTGCTCAGTCGCTGCTACACAGGAGCTCCTTGTCCTGATCGCATCCGGAGCACGGGAGCCCGAGAGCGGGAATAGAGAGAGAGAGAGAGGGAGAGAGAGAGAGAGTGAGAGAGCGCGAGAGAGAGAGAGCGAGAGCGAGCGAGAGCGAGAGAGCGAGAGAGAGCGAGAGAGAGAGAGCGAGAGAGAGAGCGAGAGAGCGAGAGCGAGAGCGAGAGAGCGAGCGAGAGAGCGAGACAGAGCGAGAGCGAGCGAGAGCGAGCGAGAGAGCGAGAGAGAGCGAGCGAGAGAGAGCGAGAGAGCGAGAGAGAGCGAGAGCGAGCGAGAGAGCGAGAGAGAGCGAGCGAGAGAGCATCCTGTTCCGCGTTAGCAAGTGGTTAATGCAAAGCCTTGTCGCTCAGTGGTCGGAGCCCTCGCCTCGCGAGCGAGAGGACCTGGGTTCGATTCCCGGGCGGGTCAGGGTGAAACCTTCGGCAAGTTTTCCTTTCTCACCCCCCCACCCCCCCCCCCCCCACCCACACACACACACCCCCCCCACCCCACACGCACACACACGCGCACACACGCGCACACACACACCCCTCTCTGTCTGTCCGGCCGTCGCTAGGAACCAGTTAAGTCGATTATTCCGAGGGGTGATCATCCCTTCAATAATAATTTGGGTCACTTGTTTGCGGGTGGGTCGTGGCCCGGGGCGGGCGCAACGGGCTGCCGCGTCCCGGGCCGCCGGCCCGCGCGGCCACTGCGCTCCGCGGCGCATCCGCGGCGCGCCCTGAGACGTCTCGCCGCCGCGTCGGCCGCGAGGGGTCCATTGAGTCGCGCGTGACCGTCGAATTCCTGACCTCCGGGCGAGACGAGCCGAAGAATGAAACGGCTTCGGCCAACGCGGAAGGCACAGCCGAGCGCCCCGCCTCGCGGCGGGGTCCCGGTGAGGCGCTGCGAGACGTTCTGCGATGCGAATGGAACGCTTCCCACTCGCTGCCCAGGAATCCACTGGGGAATGTTAACGAGACTTTCCTGTTGCGCAACCGGTCGCAGAGACGCTCTCTCTCTCTCTCAAAAAAAAAAGAAGCATTTCTTGTTAAAGCGAGAAGGTTCTCGACGGATTCTCGGCCGTCGCGCACGATTCAGCTTCAGTCGCCGCGCCCCCCCCCCCGCGTCAGCGCCGCGCGCGACGGGAGCGAGAGGAACGTGGAGAGTGAGAGCGAGAGAGAGCGCGCGCGCGAGAGAGAGAGAGAGAGAGAGAGAGAGCGCGGTAGTGCCTCAGAGCGGGCGAGCGCCAGTGAAACGCTCTCCACGTCACGGAAATCCATCTTAAATATTCTCTCGTGCTTTCTCTCTCTCTATCCCGTGATCCCTCCCTTTCTCACGCTCCCCTCTTTCTCGCTCCCGTGCTCCTCTCCCGCACTCCCTCGCTCCCTTGTGCTCTCTCTCTCTCTCTCTTTCCTCTCTCTCTCTCTCTCTCTCTCTCTCTCGCGCTCTCTCGATCATTCTCTCACGTTCTCTTCTTTATCGTCTCTCGCGCCCTCTCTCTCTCTCTCTCTCGCTCCCTCCCGCTCTCTTTCTCTCTCGCTTTCGCTCTCTTTCTCTCGCGGGTTTGGCCGGAAGTTTGGACTTGGGGAAGCAGAGAGATTCAGATAACTCCGAGGCGGACAGGATGCAAACGGATTCAACCACAAAAACAACCGCCATCTGTATATAACTTGCACTGTTTCTCCCCCCAAAATATACCGTCGATCCACTTTACAGTATAAATTCCGTGAAGCGCTCTGAGACGCTTCGAAGGCGTCGATAAGGCGCTGCGTCAAATGCGAAGAGCATTATTATTATTATTATTATTATTAATAGGGTATCAAAAGAAGCAAAGGGAAGAAATCACAGATGCATTAGTCATCATTTTCCAAAGCTCACTATGTTCGGGAAGACGAGAGCTCGGGGCCATTTTAGGGGTGAGATCGGGAGGCGTTTTTTTTCACCCAAAGGCGGGTGGAAACCTGGAACTCTCTCCCCCAAAAGGCTGTGGATCCAGTCACGTCTTCGAGACTGAGGGGGAGAGAGATGTTTGTTCGGTCGGGGTATTAGGGCACAGGCGGGTCATTGGAGTTGAGGTACAGATCACCCATGGTCTTAAGGAACGGCGGAACAGGCTCGAGGGGCTGAATGGCCTCCTCCTGCTCCTATAAATCCTTCCCCTCCTCAGGGGAGGGCAGGTCGGGGGATCGGGCGAGAGGCGCCGTCAGTCACGGCTGAAACAAGCTCAAGAAGATGTAGTGGGAGACGCCGGCAGCGAGCGAAGAGGACGCAAGAGAAATAATAATATAATAATAATAATAATAATAATAATAATAATAATAATAATAATAATAATAATCCTCGCCTTTGATACTGCTCGGCATTCATCTTCCTTCAAACATTCCACTCCATTTAGCCTCGAGGCTTAAGCCCCCGTTCATTATTTTAAACAGCCTCAATCGCATCGCCACCTCCCCTCCCCTGCCCCAGAGCAATTTACAACGATTCGGTACCTTTCATGTCGGGAGGGTGTCTCAGAAGAACTTCACACAGCCGACTGTCAGCGAGTATGTGCGTGGGGGGGGGGGGGGGAGAGGGGAGTGTGTGTGCGACGGAGCGAGGAGAGAGTGTGCAAGAGAGTGAGTGAGTGAGTGAGTGAGTGTGCGTGGGTGGGGGGAAGAGAGAAAGCATGAGAGTGTGTGGGAGAGAGGGAGAGAGTATGAGAGAGAGAGAGAGAGAGAGAGAGGGAGGGGAGGGGGAAGTGTGCGAGAGAGGGAGTGTGTAAGAGAGAGAGAAAGTGTGTGAGAGGGAGAGGGTGTGCGAGAGAGTATGTGAGTGCGGAAGGCAGGGAGTGTGTGAGCGAGTGGCCGGGTGTGAGAGCGCGTGTGGGTGTGAGAGCGCGTGTGGGTGTGAGAGCGCGCGTGGGTGTGAGAGCGCGCGTGGGTGTGAGGACGTGCGTGAGAGTGTACGTGAGGGAACGTGTGTGTCAGAGAGGGTGGGTGTGAGAGAGTTGTGTGAGCGGTGTGGATGTGCGTGAGAGCGCGGCGTGTGAGCGCGCGCGGTGGCGCGTCGTGGAGAGCGCGTGCGTGGACGCCGTGGTGTGAGAGAGAGTGCGTGTGTGAGAAAGGGAGCGCGCGTGAGAGAAACTGGTTCCTGTATGAAATAAAACCATTTCGAAGCGGTTTGCTAAGAGGGCGATCGTTATTAATAAGATTATAATATAACCGGAGGGCATCATTTGTCTGTGGGGACACAGTTCTGTAACGAACGACAACAAAACAAAACAAAATGACATTTGTATAGCGCCTTTCACGTCGGGAGGAACACAAGACACTATTACGATAAGGTACAAAACTCGGACACTAACGCGAACACAACTGTCCTCTGGGAGTGTGAGAAGGGAGTCTCTCTCTCGTGCTCTCGCTCCCTCCCTCCCTCTCTCCTCTCTCTCTCTCTCTCTCCCCGGCGTTCCCGGCCGACAATTCCCCGAAGCAAAATTGGTCGCTCAGTCCGTGGTGTTTGTGGGACTCTGCTGCGCGCGAATTGCCAATCGACTGCTGGATAAACAGAGGGGTGCGTGCGTGCGCGTGTGTGTGCGCGTGCGTGCGCGCGTGTGTGTGTGTGTTTCTGTGTGTGTGTGTGTGTGTGTGTGTGTGTGTGCGGTAAGGGAAACGCGCCCTAAGGTTTCTGACCTGACCGGGACCCGCCCGGGAATCGAACCCGGGTCCCCTGACCACTGAGCGGCACGACGCCACGTGCAGAATACCGGACCGCGGCAGAACACCACCGAGTAAGGATAAGAATCCTCGCATTGCGTAGTGTAAAGTGAACGGACCGTACGTTTTGCGGTCGAATTGCCCACGAAGCAGTCGCGCATTGAATGACCGCGTGTGTTTTCTGTGGAGGGGGAGTGGGGGGGGAATTATTATTAATATTAATATTATTATGAATTATTATGGAGGAGGAGGGGGGGGCAAAGCGATCCACCAATCGACTAACAACCGGGTTCCTACTTACTGCCGGGCAACCAGAGGCGCGTGCGGAGTAAAGGGAAACTCGCCGAAGGTTTTTGCCCGGCTCGGGAATTATTATTTACTATTATATTTTAATTACTCTTCTTCTTCTTCTTCTTCTTATTATTATTAATTATTATCATCGCAAGATAGAAACTGACGGGCTGTGACTGGCTGGATTCCAGCAGATTGTTTCGACGTTGGGATTCCAGGCAGAATTCAGTTTGCGCTTAGCGGTGACGCTGTTAGAGCCGGGAATGTAAATTGCTGGAAGGTGAGTTATTGCTCGTGTGTGCGCGCGTGTGCGCGTGTGCGTGTGTGGTATGTGTGTGTCACTCTCTCCTCTCGCTCTCTTTTCTCTGTCTCTCCCCTTCATTGACCGCTCTACGTCTCCACGTCTCGTTCGATCTTGTTTCCGTAGCTCTCACACTTTTGTCAGAAAACACCCAGATTTTTTTTTGTGTACACACACACACACACACACAACTGGTGGAAACACACACACACACACATACCACACACCACACACAGAACTGGTGGAAACACACACACACACACATACCACACACCACACACAGAACTGGTGGAAACACACACACACACACCACCCACACAGAACTGGTGGAAACACACACACACCCCCCACACACCCCCCCCCCCCCCACACACACACACCAACCCCCCCACAGAGAATTGGTGGCCCCAATCACATGCAAACTTAAATGTGCAGAACTAGACGTTGGGATCAGACAGAGACCCAGTGTGCAAAGGAGAAGGAACACACAGACACAGACAGAGCTGTGTTTGGGGAACACATCTCGAGGATTGTGCAAAGGAACACAGACAGACAGACACAGACAGACAGACAGACAGACAGACAGACCCAGACAGTCTGGCTGACAGACTCCAGACTGCCCTTCTCCAGGTAAGAAACCCCTCTGAGTTGTGAGGCTGACCTTCCAGGTGGAGTTACTTTGGAGATACCCATCGAGTGGTGAACTTCAGGCTCTGTTTCACGTCCAACAGTTTGGGAGGGGAGAAGGTTTGCAAAGGGACTGAGTTTGGGCTCTGATGTGATTGTGGCTTCAGTGTTGGGTTTGGGAGGACAGGTCCTCCTCAGCCCAAAGGTGACCCAAGGAACCAGGAAAGGGGACATGTTTGGGGAGAATCCACACATCAACCCTCTCTGTGTCACCATCAACCCCTATCTGATGTCCTTCATCTAACCAACTGTCCCTCACCAAACCCCTACTCCCACCACCACCACCTCTCTCCCTCTTTCTCTCTCTCTCTCTCTATCTCTCTCCCCCTCTCTCTCTCTCAGTCCCTGAGAATCTTTTTTTTTCACATATATGATTTTAGACTCTGAATGAAAAGGAAGGAAGGAGAGAGAGAGAGAGAGAGAGAAGGAAAAGAGAAAATGGAAAGAAGAGGGAAAGAAAGAGAGAGAGAGAGAGAGAGAGAAGGAAAAGAGAAAATGGAAAGAGGGAAAGAGAGAGAGAGAGAGAGAGAGAAGGAAAATGCAAGAAAAAAAGATAAAGAGAGAAAAAGAAAGAAAGAAAATTAAGAGAAGAGAAGTAACTGAACCCAGAACATCTCCTGCTCTGTGTCCCAGAGGTTTGTCCATCTCCCCCCAGAGGATAAACCCCCAACATTTGGTACGTTAGGAATAAAAAAATACAAAGTAAACAGAAACGAAAACCTTTCCAATGTTTCATGTTGAAAATGTACATTTTTCCTTCTCTCTCTCTTTCTCTTTTTCTTGCTTTCCTTCTCTCTGTCATCTCTCTCTCTCTCTCTCTCTGTCTCTCTCTTCTTTCCTTCCTTCTTGGAGTCTCTACAAACGCCAGGTGCAGCTTCAGCAAATATCCTTCCTCCATCGAAGCCACAAACACAAGAGCTGAGCTAAGGTGTGTTGGGCTGTGTTGGGGTGAGCTGGGCTAAGCTGTGCTGGGTTGTGCTGGGCTATGGTGGGCTGGGCTGTGCTGGGCTGGGCTGGGCTTGGCTAAAGTGTGCTGGTCTGGTCTGTGTTGGGCTGAGCTTGGCTAAAGTGTGCTGGTCTGGTCTGTGTTGGGCTGAGCTGGGCTAAGGTGTGCTGTGCTGGGCTGGGCTGGGCTGGGCTAAGGTGTGCTGGGCTGTGTTGGGCTGAGCTGGGCTGTGTTGGGCTGAGCTGGGCTTGGCTAAGATGTGCTGGGCTGGGCTGTGTTGGGCTGAGCTGGGCTAAGGTGTGCTGAGCTGTGTTGGGCTGAGTTGGGCTGTGTTGGGCTGAGCTGGGCTAAGGTGTGCTGGGCTGTGTTGGGCTGAGCTGGGTTAAGGTGTGCTGGGCTGTGTTGGGCTGTGTTGGGCTGAGCTGGGCTGTGTTGGGCTGAGCTGGGCTGTGTTGGGCTGAGCTGGGCTGTGTTGGGCTGTGCTGGGCTGTGTTGGGCTGAGCTGGGTTAAGGTGTGCTGAGCTGTGTTGGGCTGAGGTGGGCTGTGTTGGGCTGTGCTGGGCTGAGGTGGGCTGTGCTGGGCCTTGTTGGGCTGAGCTGGGCTAAGGTGTGCTGTGCTGGGCTGTGTTGGGCTGGACTGGGCTGTGTTGGGCTGAGCTGGGCTAAGGTGTGCTGGGCTGTGTTGGGCTGAGGTGGGCTGTGTTGGGCTGAGGTGGGCTGTGTTGGGCTGAGCTGGGCTAAGGTGTGCTGGGCTGTGTTGGGCTGAGGTGGGCTGAGCTGGGCTGTGTTGGGCTGAGCTGGGCTAAGGTGTGCTGGGCTGTGTTGGGCTGTGCTGGGCTGTGTTGGGCTGTGCTGGGCTGTGCTGGGCTGTGTTGGGCTGTGCTGTGCTGTGCTGGGCTGTGCTGGCTGTGTTGGGCTGTGTTGGGCTGTGCTGGCTGTGCTGGGCTGTGTTGGGCTGTGTTGGGCTGTGCTGGGCTGTGCTGGGCTGTGGCTGTGCTGGGCTGTGTTGGGCTGAGGTGGGCTGTGCTGGGCTGTGGTGGGCTGTGTTGGGCTGTGCTGGGCTGTGCTGGGCTGTGTTGGGCTGTGCTGGGCTGTGCTGGGCTGTGTTGGGCTGGACTGGGTTCAGGGTAACTTTGAGGTACATTTGACCAGTGTTCAGTCAGTCAGTCAATGAGGATCCCAGAGAGCAAAAGAGGTTTGACCATTGACCATTGACCTTCTCTGGGCTCCAGGGTTTGGGTGGGACATAGTCCTGTCTCAGGGCACCTTCACCCCCAGGGTAACAGCCCCCTCTGTCACCCCCTCTGTCACCCCCTCCTCTGCCTCCCCCCCCCTTTCCTCTGAGCCAAACTCAGGGATAACTATTCATCTCAAACAAACCCTCTGATTTATTGTGTGAGTTTGAAACAGAAAGAGATCAGTTCAGGTGGAATTTTAACTTAATCTCTTTTCTTTCCTTTTCTTTCTCTTTCCTTTCTTCCTTTTTCTCTCTCTCTCTCTCTCTCTCTCTCTCTCTCCCCCCCCCCCCCCTCACCTCCTCTCTCTCTCTCTCTCTCTCTCTTTCTTCCCCTCTCTCTTTCTTTCTCTCTTTCTTCCCCTCTCTTTCTCTCTCTCTCTCTCTATTTCTCTCTCTTCACTCCCTCTCTCTCTCTTTCTCTCCCTTCTTTCCTTCCTTCCTTTTTCATTCTCTCTCTCTCTCTCTCTCTCTCTCTCTCTCTGTCTCTCTCTGTCTCTTTTTCTTTCCCTCTCTCCCATTCCCTCTTTCTTGTTCTCTCCCTTTCTTTCTCCCTCTGTCTCTCATTCTATCACTTTCTTTTCCTTCGTTTATATTTCTCTTATCCTTTTGTTTTTCTTTCCTTATTTTTTACTCTCTCTCTCTCTCTCTCTCTCTCTCTCTCTCTCTGTGTGTCTCTTTCCCCTTTCTCTCTCTCTCTGTTTCTTTCTCTTTGCCTTTCTGTCTCTCCATATCTCTCTTTCTCTCTCTCTCTCTCTCTCTTTCTGTCTCTCTCTGTTTCCAGCCTTCAGTTCCCTGTGTTTTTATTGCTCCTTTATTTTGATATAATTATGGAATTGCAAAATATTCTCAAATTCGGTTTGAATTCAGAATCCACACTCCCCTTCTCTCCTTTCTTTTTCTTCCCTTTTCATTCCCTCTTTCTCTCTCTCTCTCTCTCTCTCTGTCTAATTCTCAGACACAAACTATTAGGTATTATTATTATTATTATTATTATTAAATGTGGATCATTTTTTTTTAATATCAGTTTTCCAAATCCAGACCTGAGATTTTTTAAAATTAAAAACAAATGAATTATCCCCAATTCTGGTGATTCGAGTTTGTATTTAGGGTATATTTTGTGGCAAATTCACCAGTTTTTGGGGGGGTTTCAAGGGACCATTTTGCAAAGTAAATTCAGAATATTGTACCACAGGTTTCCATCGAATTTCTCGCCCCTCAAAACCCTAATCTGTGTGTTATTTTATTGCAATTGCAATATATATATGTTATTACAATTGCAATTTCTCTCTCTCTCTATATATATATATATTTACTATGTATATTTTATATATATGTGTGTGTGTGTAGATGTATATAGATATATTTATAGAGAGGGTTACATTTTTTATTTGATTGGATATTTTAACGAGTAAAATAACTATATGTTGTGCCAAACCCACTGTTTAATCTGTGTTTTCTTCTGAAAAAAATCACTCAAACTCCCAAAAAATCTGACCATCTTTCCCACTCTCTCTCTTTCTCTTTCTCTTCGTTGGTTCTTTCTCTCTTTCCCTTTTCTTTCTTCGTTTATTTCTTCTCTCACTCTTCTCTCCTTTCTCTCTCTCTCTCTCTCTCTCTCTCTTTCTGTCTCTCTTTGTTTCTTCGTTTCATTTTCTCTCTTTTGTTTTCCTTTCTCTCTCTCTCTCTCTCTCTCTCATTCACTCTCACTCTCTCTCAGTGAATTTTCCCACTTATCAATGTATAAATAAAACCAATATATATATATATATATTATATATATATATTATATATAATATTATAATATTATATATATATATATTATATATATAATATTATATATAATATAATATTATATATATATATATATATATATAAAAAGAGCCTCTCATCCCCATCAGCTCTTTACAAGGGGAGAAATATAGAGTGTAACAGAAAAAAAGAAGAGATAATCCAATTTAATTAATTTTATTTCAGGCCAAAATAGTCCACAAAAAAAAATCCCCACAGGAAATGTATTAAAATCATTGCAATAATTATTTTACTGAATGTGCGGTTGATTTCAACATAAAATATTCGTTTAATGGGCAGTTTTGCTGAACGAATTTCTGTATATTTCCCCAAATATTTTACAGTTTCCTGTGTTTAGTGTTGTCTCTGAATATAATTCCCCTATAAGTACAATTCCCTACGAAGGTATTACCTGTAAATATAATTATAAATATAATTATAAATGCAAATACAGTATCTATCCGTACCTTTAAATAACCAATGGCTTTAATATTATTTATTTGGAATGAGAAAAAAAACACGTTCCTTCTTTCGCTTTTTAGGCAAAAATCTTTTGTTACTCATTTTATTTCTCCATCAAAAGACTTTGCACTTTAATTCAAATTCGACTTTGGCCACAGATACATCTGCAGAACATTTGCAGCTGTGGATATATTTATATATATATAAAATCAGAAACATTAATTAAACATTCTGGGCAATTGGGACCATTTAAATTAACTCTGGACCCAGGACACGTTCGCAAACGTTCAGAGGTTGCGAAACAACTGCGCAAAATGCCGCGTTCAGCATCGAATCGGATCGAAAAGGTTTTGCAAAATGCAATTTAACTTATTTTGCGCAAAGTGTAGTACGCGGTGGAGATGGATTTCACGTCGCCTTTCGCTTTCGCTCCGAACGAAAATGCGCATTTTTAAAGAACTCCCCCAATGGGTTCACATTTACTGTGAACTGTGTTTTTTTAAAAAGAATAATATATATATATATATACATCTATATATCTAAATGTCTGTGGGGGGAGAAGTGGACCATATCTTTTGCACAGTTAAGAGATCTTTCTGGTTAGCACATCAGCGCATTTTTAACCCCATTCGTAATGAAACGTGTAATAACTCCGACAGAGCTGTGAGAGGGGGACATGAAACTGGAAAAAAAAATGTAAAGGCAGTTGGACTTCTTGTTGATGTGATTCTTTTGTTGATGAAGTGGAAATGTGGGGGAACCAGTGATTGAAGGAGAGAGAGAGAGAGAGAGATGGAGTGAAACAGAGAGAGAGAGAGATGGAGTGAAACAGAGAGAGAGAGAGATGGAGTGAAACAGAGAGAGAGAGAGATGGAATGAAACAGAGAGAGAGAGAGAGATGGAGTGAAACCGAGAGAGAGATGGAGTGAAACAGAGAGAGAGAGAGATGGAGTGAAACAGAGAGAGAGAGAGAGATGGAGTGAAACAGAGAGAGATAGAGATGGAGTGAAACAGAGAGAGAGAGAAAGACACACAGAGAGAGAGAGAGAGAGAGAGAAAGAGATGGAGTGAAACAGAGAGAGAGAGAAACAGACAGAGAGAGAAAGAGAGATGGAATGAGACACAGAGAGAGACAGAGAGAGAGAGAGGGAGAGAGAGAGAGAGAGATGGAGTGAAACAGAGAGAGAGAAACAGACAGAGAGAGAGAGAGAGACAGACAGAGAGAGAGAGAGAGAGAGAGAGAGAGAGAGAGATGGAATGAGACACAGAGAGAAAGAGAGAGAGGAGGGAACAGGAAATTAATTTCGTTAAGAAATGATACTAAAAAATGATATAATAATACATAATAATCCTTGTCGTAATAATGCAATAATCCCGGCATTTGACACAGCGCCTTCATCGCCTTCGTCTTCGAGACGTCTCAAAGCGCCTCGCGGGACCCGCTGTCGAGTGTAGTGACTGCGCGTTTTGCGGGCGAAAGGCGGCAGCCGACTGCGCGCACCGCAGCGCACCCACAAACAGCCGTGGAATCGAGTGACCGAATTATTCATCTATTTATTTGTTAATTATCAAGCGATCTGCCAAACGACTGACTGGGTAAGCAGAGGCGTGGGTGTGCGTGTGCGCGTGTGCGCACGCGTGTGCGTGCGTGTGGATTTTGACTGTGATCTTAATTGCGAGGCGATCGCTCTCAAATACCCAATTACAACAATAATAATGACGAGTATTTGAGGGGTTCGGGACGGAGCGGGAGGGAAAGCATCCATATTGGGGTTTGGGAAAAATAAAAACCGGAAAGGTTCAGTGATGACCTCCAGTCGCGGCGCTGTCGCTTCATCGCTAAGCAACTTCCTCTAATCGGCGTTGGTCACTCAGCGGACGGCGGGCAAAGGATTTGGAACAAGTCGAGACCGGATCAGATCAGACAGGGGCTCGGCAGTCTTGAGAGGAGGGAAGAGGACTCCGAGGGTTCCTCGTGGAGGTGTGTGACGCTTTAAACGGGATTGAGAACGTCAACTCAATCCACGACTGTCTGTGGGACTCTTGTCGGGCGCAATGGGCACGGAATATACAGTCACTCCACTTTACCGTGTATCCTGTGAATCGCTTTGAGACGTCTCAGCGACCTGATCAAACACAGGGATTATTATTATATATTATTATTATATATTATTATTATTATTATATTATTATTATTATTATATTATTATTATTATTATTTTATTATTATTATTATATTATTATTATGATGATGTAGGGAGACAGTAGAACAAGAGGGCACAGGGTTTAAGAGTAACGAAGGGGCAATTTCGGGACAGAAACCTGGAAGTGTTTCTTTACTCAGAGGGTAATTGATGAGAGGAATAATAATCCCTCAAAGCAAAATGGTGACTCAACCCACGGCCGTTAGTGGGACACCGCTGTGATGCGCTTCGAGCCGTCTCGAAGACGCGATGAGGCGCTCTCTCAAATGCGAGGCTTATAAATATTATTATTATGTAACTGCAACCCGGTGATGTGGGGGGGGGGGTGGGGGGGGGGGGGGGCGGGGAGGAGACGGGGGGGAACGGTAGGGTGGGTATTCTGTAAGGGTGACCCGTGGGCTGAAGGATCTATCGCGTCTTCGAGACGTCTCAAAGCGCTCCACGGGGTACACCGTTAAAAAAAAAAAGGGCGCCGTAGGGGGTGCAGGTTGTATTTTTTTTCGGGGTGGAGTGTGGTGACTGTGTGTCCTGCGCACCGTTACGCTGGAATCCCGTTCTCCTGCTCGCTCCCGAGACCCCCCTTTTCCGCTCCCACCGCTCGCTCCTCCCGCGCCCCCCGCGCTCTTACTGTTCAGTCGAGTGCCTTCGCCCCCTTTTAAGCGAATCCTTGAAAGGAAGTCTTCCCCGAACGCCCCTTTAGTTCCCTTCCTGGTTATCCTGACTGTGTCCCCTGTCCCGTTACTGACTCCCAGCGGTGACGCTGCGTTAGTATTTGCCCAACGGTATAACCCTCTGTAGGTTTTAAGACCTTCCTCGTCTTTAACTGTCTCAGCTCTCGTGAAAAATGCTCAACTCCTGTAGTCTCTGACTCAGTCGCTCGCGCTCTCTCTCTTTTCTCTCTCCCTCTCGTCTCGAGTCAGAAAGTCGTGGGTTCAAGTCCCCACGTCAGGGACCTGGATTCGCACACGGTCTAAGCTGACTCTCCAGTGCAGTGCTGGGGTGTGGGGTGGGGGGCGGTGGGGGGGGTGGTGGGTGTCGAGCTGTTCGGAGACGCCTTCCTTCGGGTGAGACGTGAAGCCAAGGTTCTGTCTCCATTTTTCAGGTGAATGTTAAAGATTGGAATCCTGTTAGAGTGTAGGAGGGAAGGAGGTGAGGAGCGAGGGAGGGAGGTGAGGAGCGAGGGAGGGAGGGGAGGAGTGTGGGAGGGAAGAGCGAGGGAGGCAGGTGAGGAGTGAGGGAGGGAGGTGAGGAGTGTAGGAGGGAAGAGCGAGGGAGGGAGGTGAGGAGTGAGGGAGGGAGGTGAGGAGCGAGGGAGGGAGGGGAGGAGTGTAGGAGGGAGGGAAGAGCGAGGGGGGAGGTGAGGAGTGTAGGAGGGAGGGAAGAGCGAGGGAGGGAGGTGAGGAGTGAGGAAAGGAGGTGAGGAGTGAGAGAGGGAGGTGAGGAGTGAGGGAGGTGAGGAGTGAGGGAGGTGAGGAGTGAGGGAGGGAGGGAAGAGCGAGGGAGGGAGGTGCGGAGAATTGGTGCACAAGGAAAAATGTAGGAAAGGAAGAGGTTTTGATGAGTGGCGACTATGGCACATTGAAGACAGGACACAGGAAGTAGGAGAGAGGAATAGGAGCCACAGTGAAGCAATGTCCAAATAGATGGGAAAGATTACGGGGAGCGGGGCCAGGGGAGCGGGGCCAGGGGAGCGGGGCCAGGGAGTGGGGGGGGGGGGGGGGGTTGGGAAGAGAGAGAGAGAGAGAGGAGGTCATAAGAACACAGGGAATGCTAGACCAAGGTCCATCTCGTTCTCCTTCCATTTCCTACTTCAACCATCTCCCTGGGGAGCTGTTCCACAGGTCCACTGTTCGTTCGCTGAAATAGCGTTTGCATAGATTTGTTCTGAATTCCCCGCCGCCCCCCCCCCCAACCCCCCCCCCCCTCCCTCCACCCCCTTTCAATCGCAGGCCACGGCCTCTGGTTTTACTATTCTGGACAGGTTGACATGATCCAGACTGTCTCGCCCCTTTAGAGTCTTGAGGGCAGCCTCTCAATCTTCTCTGGATCTTCTCGTTTCCAGCGTGAACATGTCTCCCAATTTACTGAGCCGCCTCCGCGCAGTCCCGTCCCTTCCGTTCCCTCAGTCATTTTGGTTGCCCTCCGATGTATCTTCTCCCATATCCTTCTTGTGCTGCGGTGACCCCACAGACGAGGGAGGGATCGTCTGTCGGTGGAGGAATCTTGGGTCAAGCCAAGCCGAGGAGAGTGAGTCAGTGATGGGTTGGGAGCGGAGAGCGAGAGAGAGATACATCAGAGGTGTTCCAAATCTTGGGTAAACTCAGGCTTTTACCAGAAAGCGAAGACAACCACAGTAACGACCCTCGCATTTGATGCAGCGCCTTTATCAGGTCGTTGAGGCGTCTCAAAGCGCTTTACAGAATGGCTGTTAGTGGGACGTCGCAAGTCCGAATTGGTCGCCGCGCTCACCTGCGAAACAGAGACCTGCAGCTCAGCGGTCAGAGCCCTCCCTCGCAAGCGAAAGGACCCGGGTTCGATTCCCGGGCGGGTCAGGGCGAAACATTGGGCAAATTTCCTTACTCCACACACACACACACACACACACACGCACACGCACACGCACACGCCTCTGTTTGCCCGGCGGTAAGTAGGAACCCGGTTGTTAGTCGATTGGCGGATCACTTTCTGGGGGTAATAATCCCTCCGAAAGTATAAAATAATAATAATAATTTGGCCACGGCTGTTTGCGGGGACGCCGCTGTGCGCAATTGGCTGCCGGGTTTCGCCCGCAGATTGCACAATCAATCCATTTTACAGTCTGACCTGTGAAGCGTTTGCTTCGAGACGTCTGAACGAGGTGACAACAATTATTATTATTGTTAATTATTATTACTATTCGAGGTGAACGCTGGGCCCGGCAACCCAGGGGTTAATGATTGGTTTGGTAAGAGATGTGGATGTGGATAGCGTCCAGGCGAGAGAGAGAGAGAGAGAGAGAGAGAGTGAGGAGCGAGGGAGCGAGGAGAGATGGAATCTCTCGCACACTTCACTGCGCTGCCCGATCAGAGATTACATTGTTAGCAACGGTTTGGCCGATGGAAGGTGGGATGAGGTTCGAAATTGGCAGCGTCGGCTCGCGCCGACCGCAGTCTCGCCTCCTCCTGTCGGGAATTAATACTTTATACAGCGATAGACGCCCTTAATGATAATAATAATAATAATAGTTCTTGCCTTCGACGCAGCCGCACCTTCGAGACGTCTCTCGAAGCGCTTCCCAGGACGCGCTGTAAAAGTGGGGACGCCGCTGTGCGCAATTGGCTGCCGCGTTTCGCCCGCAAAATACACAGTCGATGCGCTTTCCGGTGCTTTGGGGCCGTCTCGAAGGCGCGATAAGGCGTTGTATCAAATGCAGGGATTGTTATTATTATTATTAATAATAATTTCGCCCACAAAAAAAAATTCGGTCAATTCACTCTACAGTCTATTCTGTGAAGCGCTTTGAGACGTCTGGAAGACGTGAAAAGCGCTGTATCAAACGCAAAGATTATTATTATTATACTATTATTAATAATAATAATAATCAAGTGAATTGACTGTATATTTTGTGGGCGAAACACAGCAGCCGATTTCCCCGCAGCCGTGTCCCACAGACACGTGTGGATTGAGTGACCACATTATTATTCTTATCAATTCTTTTGAAGGGATTATTACCCGTGTCGACAATTAGTAATAATAATAAATATTATTGTGTCCCTCTCTCCGTGGCGCTGCCTTTATCTCTCTCTCCTTTACTCCTTCCCTCTCTTCCTCTCCCTCGTTTGCTGTATCTCCCCCTCTCACTCTCTTTCGTTCCGTTTCTCTCCCCCCCCACCCCCCCCTCTCTCTTTCTCTCTCCCTCAATTCTTTTATTTCACTCTGACACTGGTCTGCGTGAGGAGTGCTGTGCAATAATAATAGTAATCTTTGATATAGCGCCTTATTGCTGTATTTTGCAGCGACAAATTGCGCACAACTGCGTCCCACAGACAGTCGTGGATTTTTGAGCGAACCAATTATTTTTCAAGCGATCCGCCAATGGACTAACGACCGGGTTCCTACTTACTGCTAAGTAAACAGAGACGTGTGTGTGCGCGCGCGTGTGTGTGTGTGTGCGGAGTAAGGAAACTTGTCCAACGTTTCTCCCTGACCCGCCCGGGAATCGAACCCGGCTCCCCTCGCTTGCGAGGCGAGGGCTCTAACCCCTGAGCTCCAAGGACTCTTGCATATAATGCGAGTGGTTGTGGTTCGTTGCTCTACGTGTGTCTCTCTCTCTCTCTCTCTCCTTCGCTGTTTCTCTTTTCTTTGCTCTGTTTCGTTCCTTTGCCGTCTCTCTCTCTCTCCCTCTCTCTCTCCCCCTCTCCCTCTCTCTCCCTCTCGCTCTCTCTCTCTCCCTCTCTCTCCCTCTCCCCTCTCTCTCTCCCTCTCCTCTCTCTCCCTCTCTCTCTCTCCCCCTCTCTCTCTCTCTCCCCTCTCTCCTCTCTCTCTCTCCTCCCTCTCTCCTCTCTCTCTCTCTCCCTCTCTCCCCCTCTCCCCCTCTCTCTCTCTCTCCCTCTCTCCCTCTCTCTCTCTCTCTCTCCCTCTCTCTCTCTCTCCCTCTCTCCCTCTCTCTCTCTCCCTCTCTCTCCCTCTCTCTCTCTCCTCCTCTCCGCCTCGCCTGTACACGCTCCGATTTAAAATGGAAAGAGATATGGAGATTAAAATCTCCCTTTGGGAAACGCCAAACTCCCGACGTTACTTTGACAGGAAAGTGTGGGAGGCAGTGGTGCTATATTACACAGCGGTGGTGGATTGAGTGACCGGTTTATCATTATTATTTATTATTATTTTTTTTTGGAAGGGTCTATTTTACCCCCGGAAAAGCAGTCCACCGATCGACTAGCGACCGGGTTCCTACTTACTGCTGAGTAAACGGAAGCGCGCGCGCGTGTGTGTGTGTGCGTGTGTGTGTGTGTGTGTGTGCGTGTGTGTGCGTGTGTGTGTAGAAAGGAAACCTGCCCAACGTTTCGCCCGGACCCGCCCGGCAATCGAACCCTGGTCCTCTCGCTCGCGCCCGCAACGCTCCCGCCCCCTCCACAACAACGGCGGTTTGCGTTGGCGGCATCTCCGCAACCCCTTGACTCGCCCAATCCCTTCGTAGGGGCTCCAACCCGCAACCTTCTGACTCGGAAGCGAGAGCGTGACCCACTGAGCCCGGCTGGATGTCTTCCTCCTGTGTTGTATTGGGCATAACGCTAACACTTTGCTCGTAAATCGCTCAAACCCATCCCGTACTGTTGTCTATTCGGGGAATTTCTGGCCGGGACACTGGGAAACGTCCTCCTGAACTGGGTTTAACGTCTCATTTGAAGGCAGCGCCTCCTAACGTCCGTCTCCGCTTGTCGTGTGCTTCTGTGACGATAATAATAATAATAATAATAATAATCCTCGCATTTGATATAGAGCCTCATCACATCATTGAGGCGTCTCAAAGCGCTTCACAGGATACATATGCTGTAAAGTGGGTGTGTGGAGTAAGGAAACTTGCCTAAGGTCTCGCCCTGACCTGACCCCCGCCCCGGGGACTCTGGCTTGCGAGGCGAGGGGTCTAACCCCCCCCCCCCCCCGAGCTACAGGGACTCCAGTATGTTAACGTATTGGCTTTATTCCAGGTCGGTGTCACTGGAGGTCACCCGGAGACATGAAGACGGAGGAATCGCCATCGTGCTTAAAGCAGGCGGCTGCACCTCTAGCACTTGGTGAGGGTCTCACCACTTACTGGGGTTGGGGTTGGTGGGTGGGGGGTGGGTGGGGGAACGGCGGGACAGGTTCGAGGGGCTGAATGGCCTACACCTGTCCCTGTGTTCCTATGACTCCAACAGTTACCCCCAATGCCACACTCTGGGCTCCCCACCCCACCCCCCCCCTCGCCAACCACCACCACCTCCCCACCCCGCGCGCACACACACACACACGTACTTGGCTCTTGCCATCCTGAGCCTAATACTCTCCGGAATTAGGTAAGGAGTGGGTGTAGTCCCTCCGGGGAGAGAGAGAGAAGGAGAGAGATAGAGAGAGAGACGGAGAGCGAGTTGGGTTTGGAGACTCTTGAGCAACGGTGATGGGTTTCCGCGTGTGACAGATACCCGGGTGGGTAAGAAACAAGTACCCCCCACCCACCCCTCGTGCCCCCCTCTTCCCAACCCCCCACCCCCCCACCACCACCATCACCCCATCACCTCCTCCCCCACCCCCACCACCACCCGCGCGCACACGCACACACACACACACACGCACACACACGCTCTCGGTCGCTAACGCTGAGCTCTTGTTTCCCGGTGCAGATTCGGAGCGGGGGGGCCGGGAGATGTGCGCCGGGTGTAGCACGGCCATCGCCGATCGCTTCCTGCTGCGGGCGAACGAGCGCTCGTGGCACGAGTCCTGCCTGAAGTGTGCGGCCTGTCTCCAGCCCCTGTCCGGCACCTGCTACTGCCGCGATCGGGAGCTCTACTGCAAGCACGACTACCAGAAGTAAGCCCCCTCCCCACCCACCTCCCCCCCACCTCCCCTCCCCGTGCTGGCGCTCGCGCTCTCCCTCCCTCCCTCCCTCCCCCACTCCCTCCCTCCCTCCCTCCCTCGCTCCCATGCTCCGTCCGTCCATCTGTCCGTCCGTCCGTCTGTCTGTCCATCCGTCTGTATTTGACTGTCTGCTGTCTGTCTGTCTCTACGTGTCGTGTCTGTCTCTACGTGGCTGTCTGCCTGTCTGTCCGTCTGGTTGTCTGCCTGTCGGTGCGTCTGCGTGGAGGGGCGCTACAGAAGCCGCAAGTTGTTGTTGTTGTTGTTGTGTGGCTGTGTAACCCTGTAGGACAGTGTGTATTTATATATGTACGTGTTTATGTTTTACGCCCGTTACAGGGTCCTCGGCATCCCCACCGCGTGTAACATAGGGTCATGCATTACTGCCACCGATCTGCCTTGTAACCCCCACCACCCCCACCCGGCCCGCTCTGGCCTCCTGTCTGTCCCTCGTTCCCTCCGCTCCGCCTTCAGCCAGCGCGCCCCCAAACACTGGGACTCTCTCCCTCAATCCCTCCGCCTTGCCCCCTTCCCTCCCTCCCCACCGTCAAATCCCCCTCCCAAAATACCCTCCTTTTTTTGATCGAGCGTACGGTCACCTCCCCCTCCTCCCTCCCTCTCCCCCCCCCCCCACCCCGCCTCCGGCTCGGGGTTCAGACTCCGCCACCGTCAGGCGCTCCGAGAAGCTATCCCACGTGAAGGGCGCTGTGTGAACACCGCTGTTGTTGTTGTTGTTGTTGTTGTTGCCTATATGTCTGGTATTCGGGAAGGGCTGAATTATTATCCCTATGCATCGCAACTGTGGGTGATGTGTTCCTGATGTGCATTCGTTATAACCTGTACCTGCCGCGGTGCTGCCGATGTAGTCCTGCAGCGCAGCAGTTTGAGCCTTCGCCTCGCAAGCGAGAGGACCCGGGTTCGATTCCCGGGTCGGGGCGAAACCTCAGGCAAGTCTCCTCACTCCACACACTCACGCGGTTGTTAGTCGATTGGCGGATCGCTTCCCAGGCGTAGTAATCCTGGCCCCCCGCTGAAAAACAACAGGAATAATTCGGTCGCTCAATCCACGGCTGTTTGCGGGGACGCCGCTGCGCGCAAATGGCTGCCGGGTTTCGCCCGCAAAATACACAGTCGCCGCACTTTACGGGATACTCTGTGAAGCGCTTCGAGACGTCCCCACAACGTGATAAGGCGCTGGATCAAATATAATAATAATAATAATAATAATAATAATAATAATAATAATAATAATAATAATAATAATAATAATAATAATAATAATATATAATAATAATAATAATAATAATAATAATAATAATAATAATAATAATAATAATAATAATAATAAATAATAATAATAATAATAATAATAATAAGCCTGGCGTTTGACACGGGGCCTTGTCACGTCTTCGAGACGTCTCAAAGGGCTTCACGGGAATGCGCTGTAAAGTGTAGTGACTGTATGTTGTGTGGGCGGAACGCGGCAGCCGCTCGCGCCCGGCGACGTCCCCACGAGCAGTCGCGGATCGAGTGACCGAACGATCATTAGTTTTGCTTATTTATTTTGAAGTCATGATCCCCAGAAAAGCAATCCACCAAATTGCAAGGATTATTATTATTATTATTATTATTATTATTAGCATTAAGTACCTTTACCAGATCCCCTCTGCAACCTTATCTGCTCCAACAGAGAGAGAGAGGGAGCGAGAGAGAGAGAGAGAGAGAGAGTTCCAACTCCGCTTGGCTCTCCTCGTGGCTATTTTGCTCTCGTTCGCAGTATCAGGATCGCGTTCCCTTTAAGAACGAGAAAAGAGAACTGAAATGTAACTCAAGGAGGTCAGGGAAGGGTGCGTGTGTGTGTGTGTGTGTGTGTGTGTGCGTGTGCGTGGGGGTGTGGTGGTGGGGGGGGGGGCGGTGGGGGTTGGGCGGGCAGGGGGTGTGGGAGGTGGGGTTTTGGATGGAAAGCGTTTCGTTTGAACGATCAAATGAAAAACAGCCCCTTTTCTCAAAGCACAGACCGACCGCAAAAGGTTCGGGGAGAGTTCAACCAATGTCAATGGCACGAGATGTAAATGGGCACCAGATGGACAGAGGGAGAACGTGGGGGAGAGGCTGAGCTGCCAGAGCAGGGCTGGGATCCAGAGCCTCTCCTGACAAGCCAAGCGAGAGATTTCCTTCGCCCCCACACCCCCCCCCACCACCCACCCACACACACACGCACGCACACACGCACGCACCCGCACGCGCGCACCCGCGCGCGCGCACTACACTCCCTGTCAACCCACCGCTGGTCTGTGGGGACGCTGCCGTGAGGAAGTTGGCCGTTCCGTTTCGCCCGCAAAAGCCACCCGGTCACCCCAGGGCGCGGTGTATATTTGATGGGTAACCAGAGGGGCGCGCGTGGAGCAAGGAAACGTGCCTAAGGTTGCGCCCTGACCCCGCCCGGGAATCGAACCGCTTGCGAGGCGAGCTCTCTAGCCACTACGCTGCAGGACTCCCATCGGGATAACATTAATAATAATAATAATAATAATAATAATCCTTGCATTTGGTATAGCGCTTTTCACGTCTTCTCGACGTCCCAAAGCGCTTCACGGAACACACTGTAAAGTGAATGGACTGTATATTTGTGGGCGAACGCGGCGGCCGATTGCGCACAGCGACGTCCCACAGACAGTCGTGGATTGAAAATGACCGATTTATTATTGTTTTTGGTTTTGGAGGATTATTATTAGGCTCTGTGTGGAGTAAGGAAACTTGCCCAAGGTTTGGCCCTGACCTGCCGGGGATTGAACTCAGGTCTCTCGCTTGCAAAGCTCTAACCACTGAGCTACGGGGGGCGATGGGTTGGCGTGGGAGCGGACGAGGGCTGCAGAGGTCTGGATGGTCTGTCGCTTGTCTAGAGAGGGACTAGGCAGGTCCTAAATGGACAGAGAGAGAGGGTTGGGGAGTCGGGGAATGAATTAGGATGAATTAGACGCCGATATTTTCCATCCGGGGGTACAATCTCTTGTCTTTCGGATCATTAAAATGCAAATTGATGCAATAATGTGTGTGTGTGTGTGTTGGGGAACATTAATCTCCAGTCAAATAAAGTAAATATCGCTTATATAAGTTAATATCGCTTACGGGCAAAGCTGTTAGGGCAGAACCGGTGTATTTCACCCGGTGTATCATTTCAGTGGATGTGTGTGCGACGCGCACGTGCGTGTGTCTGTGTGTGTGTGTGTGTGTGTGTGTGTGTGTTGCTTCCTCTGTGACACAAACCCTCATCACGTCTTCAAAACGTCTCAAATAATAATCCTTGCGCTTGATACCACGCCTCCTCGTTTCAAAACGCTTCACGGAATATACCGTACAGTGTAGTGACTGGTTAGACTCCATCAGCTGCACTCTCGGCTTCCCCCCACCAAGCCTTGGCTCTTGCCAACCTGCGCCTCGTACTCTCCGGAATTAGGGAAACAGGATGTGTCCCTCCAGAGAGAGAGAGAGAGAGAGAGTCACTCCATGGCTGTTTGCGGGAACGCTGCTGTGCGCCAATGGCTGCCGCGTTTCGCCCGCCAACCACACGGTCGATCGGCATTCTGTGTTTTGTGGGCGCGAGATGTCTTGACGATGTGATAAGGCGCTGTATCAAATGCCAGGCTAATCATCATCATCATCATCATCATCATTATTACAAGGGAACGCTCAGTTTGGTTTGGAGACTCTTAAGCACGGTGATGGGTTTCCGTGCGCGTCAGACACAACCGGCCGGGCAAATAAATCCTCTCGCAGCTCTCTGGGAGAATTTCTTTTCTCTAAGTTCCTCTTCCACGTTCTCTAAGCCCACGCCACCTCGCCTGGAAATCACCTCCCAGCAGAAATAGTTTCACGCTATTTATCTTCTCAAACCCTTTGATTAGCTTAAGACACCTCTGTCATGTCACCCTTCAGACCGTTTCTGTTCCAATGGAAAGATTCCTGACCTCCCCCCCCCCCACCATCACCTCCCGAGCCTCAAGGCTATGAAGTAGAGGCTTCGGGAGGTGGAAATTAATCGTTAACTTTGGAACAAGTTAATGCTTAACCACTTGTTGTCTCAACAAAGGTACATGAGATATAGGTGCTTGTGCGGAAGGGGCTCACGCTGAGAATTAGCCCACGAAACATTACCGTCACTACGCTCTCCAGTGTATCCCGTGAAGCGCTTTGAGACGTCTCGGAGATATGGTAAAGACGCTATATCAAATGCAAGGATTATCATTAGTGTTATTAATCAGCTCCCACCTGTAGGAATTCTCCGAGACCATCGTGATGGGTGCTCATATAACACCAAGTTGTTGTTGTTGGCATTGCCGTGAGCAAATTGGCTGCCATGTTCGCCCACTCCACACCCTCCCCCCCCCTCCCCCCCCCCCACCCCCAAACACAGTCACCGCACTTTACAGAATGCCCTTGAGCTTCGAGGAATCCTCCCGATGTGAGAGGCTCTGTACCAAACGTAAGGATTAATTATTGTTCTTATAATAATCCTCGCATTTGACGCAGCGCCTCATCACGTCTTCGAGACGTCTCAAAGCGCTTCACAGGACCCGCTGTCAAGTGAGTTGACTGTGTATTTGCGGGCGAAACGCGGCTGTTTAATAGCGCGCAGCAGCGTCCCCCCAAACAGCCGTGGATTGAAGTGACCGATTTTCCTTTCTTTTCTTTTTTTTTCTTGAGGGATCGCGATCAGGCGTGTGCGTGTGCGCGTGCGCGTGCGTGTGTGGAGTAAGGAAACGTGCCCGAGGTTTCGCCCGGCCGGGAACCGAACCCAGGTCTCTCGCTTGCGAGGCGAGCACTCTAACCACCGAGCTGCACGACTCCTTTCACGTTCTCACGTGGTCACGTACGTCCACATTCAATGTGTAGATCGACAAAGCGCTCTGGGACGCTATCCTGTGCGAAAGCCGCTGTTCAAATGCAAGTTGCTG